TAATTTGCCCTATTGTCACATAAGGGAGCCTGTTTATAGATAATTTTGGGGCCTTTAACCCCAAGCCAAAGCTCGAAGCCCTAAAACTGAAACCCCGACCAAGTAAGTTTTCGTGAAGGTTCATGGGGATGCGTTGTCATATCGCTTATATGCGTTCTGAGCATACTTATTGAGCCCCCCTGACCCCAAACCCCAACTCCTAAAAAAATACTGAACCGTATAGACCCCAAGTAGTTCTTCGGAAAGCCTGGGTAGCCGGAAGAGCAGAGGATCTGAAACCCCTAAACCCTAATCATCCCATGCACGAAAATAGGGGGCAAGCCCTCCCGGAGGGAGGAGGACACTTCAGCCACATTTTTCAGGGATTAGGGCCTTAGATTCTTAGATCTCTAGTTTTGGAGAGGCAGGGATGCGCTTTAAACCCTAAGCCCTAAACCCTGAACCCTAAACCCTTTAGGCTGGAGGTCCTGACAATAGAAATGATATTCCCAGGACCTCCAGAATGCCTGTGTTGACTATATATTCAGGCTTTTTGGCGGCTGTCTTGGCATATGAGCTATAGTCTAAACTCCTAGTATCCCCCTTAATAATCCCTATAGTAGTTCCCTTTGCAACCCCCTATGTACCCCTTTAAGGAGTTTAGACTATGGCTCATATGTTAGAGGTTCAGGCAGATACGGTAGAGAGTGGGTTTTTCCCTTCTACAGTAACTCATCTTGAAGGGTTTATTGCGGGCTATTAGAATTCCATTGTGGTAACAGTTACTATAAGGGAGAATGACCTGAGGTAGAGAGCTTGAGCTAATTCAGGGCGCTTTTAGATGTTGGGGTTTAGGGTGTTCAGTTTTGAGGGTTCAGGGATGGATCAATTTGCCGTTCCATACGTAATCCCTCCTATGATATGAGGATTGCGCTTGCCCCAACCCCTGCAGTACGGAGCCCTTACCTAACATATGATTCTGATAGGGTCCTAAATTCAGGGTGTGGCGTAGCTGCAGTCCCTACACCCCTAACCTTAAATTTCGTGTGCACCCCCTCATACTCCCCCCCCCAAGCCCCCACAATAACCCTCCTAATCAAACTAAGCAAGGGGGAACCACCCAAAACCTAAATCCTAAACCCAAAACCGTAAACGATAAACCCGATAAATCCTAACCCTAAAGTCGTGGGCTTGGCCTGGGCGCAGGCTATATATTCTTGGCGTTGGCGGGCGGCGGTGGGCTACTTGGAAGCTTTTCTTTACTGAGGGCGGCTTATGGATCAGGGTTTTTGGCGATTTTAGGTCTTAGGGTTTAGGGCTTAGGGTTTAGGGCTTAGGGTTTAGGGTTTAGGGCTTAGAATTTTGGGTTTGGGCTTCAGGGTGCAGATTTTCTCTTGTAATGCGGTAGCTTCTGTTGCTTGAGGTTCCATCAATCCGTGCTGGGGCTCTCACGTCTTGATTCGAGTCATCATTCAACCAAACTTGGAAAACCCTGGAAAACATGTACTAAACCCTAAGCCCCAAACCTTCAACAGCTTACTAGAGCCTCCAAGCACCTGGCATCACTGAACAAGTCCCTGCAGATGTTCCATCTGATTCATCTAAGCTCCTTAAAGCATAAGGGATGTATTCTTGGGGACTACGATAGGGGTCATTAAGGGGGATGCCAGGAGTTTAGACTCTACCGCTCACTTGATTCTCTATGCCTTCTATCCCTACCCTGGGGCTCTGGGTTTAGAGTTTCGGGTTTTGACTCTGAGTCTGTGAACAATACCTGCCCTGGGCCCTAGAGTTCAAGAATGCTATCTACATTGGGCGATTTCGAACCTTAAGCCCTAAGCACTGAATCCTAAACAATACCTACATTGGGCCTAAACCCTAAACCCCAAGCCTACCTACATTGGGCCGTAGGGCCGCATTATGAGATTTCGCCATGTCAGGTTTCTCTCAGCCACAGGGGCCAACGTCTTGGCATGGTCCCAATTCCACGCACGCACCAGCGGCAAGCAGTGGACGCACCTGCAGAATACAGGCTTTGCGATCGACCCATGGCTGCAACCAGGGAGCACTGCGGGGGTTACGGTTTAGGGTTTAAGCAAATCTTGCACCATTCTGGAACCACAATATATACTGCAAGTCCTGCGGTATAAGGTATATGGTAGTTTCCCAGAATAGGGGGACCCCAATATAGACCCCAAATACTATAGTCCTTGTTTTAGGGACCCCCAAAAAGGTACCCCTAATTCAGGAAACCCGAAACCCTAAACCCTGCACCCTAAACCCCATACAATCCCTATAACACCCTTTTAAAGGTACCCCTAATTTTGGGAAACCCCCATATTTTAGGTGGTGCAAGATTTCCTCCATCCACAGTATAAGGGTTTTGCTGAGGCTCCACTTGCTCAAGTTTTTCGGGTTTTGAGATTTACGGTTTTGGGTTTTGGGCTTTTCAGAGCTTGTGACAATTAGAAATGCGCACAAAGTAGTTTGAGCTTGTCAGTTCCTCAAGGTCATCCCTACAGCCTCCTTAATAGGTATGTTCCTACCCAGAGCCCCCAGATACAAGCGCCTTGAGCCTTGAAGCTTTCGCTAAACCCTAAACCCTAAACCCCTAAACCCTAAACCGCGTTTCCCACTTAGGGTGTAGAGTCTAGGGTGAAGGGTTTGGAGGGCCATGGGGACCTAGTAAGTTTACCTGTAACCCCTTTGAGCCACATAGTGACCTCACTGTTCCTAATTTGCACATACTTAATCAGTCCGCCTGAGTATACACTCTAAATACGATGTGTCCCCTTCAAAGTGTCCCCAAAACCTCTTTTAAGTCCCCCTGACCCTTCAAGCAAGGCATGTACACTGCTGAACATGGCCGGGATTGCTGCCTTCGCTCTGTCAACCGCCCTGGGAGGCACGACATATATGGTAGCCTCCATGAATAGGGGGATCCCAAAATAGACCCCAGAATATATTGATGTTTATTATGGCCACCCCTAGAATGGCACCCCTAGTTTCGGCAAACCCCCATTTGAAGTATGTATAGGGGGATACAAGTCCACTCCCTAACTATGGCTGGCTAGCTTATAACCCTGCTTAGCCTGCTTACTAAGTACCATGTGCCTTCAAGTAGGGTTGCGTAGGCTGTACTTGAGGGATTCTTGCCCCAAATAATGAGAATCAAAACGAAAAGGAGCTGGACAATAAAGTAGAAACTGAGAATATAGAGGGAATGGCAGGGATTAGGATTTTTATTATTGGTTTTCGGTGAGTAGAAACTGGGAACATTGAGTAAGGAATTTTATTCCTGGCTTTAGATGAGCTTATATTGACTATTCAACTGGGAACCGGGGGGGGGGTTCTAGAGGACCCCGTGACCAACTCCAAACCACAACCGAAGAAACCCTAAACCCCCTCAACTCGAAACTCCTAAACCCTAGACCCCTAAACCCTGAACCCCTAAATCCTAAACCCTTAACCCCTAAACCCCTCAACCCCAAACCTAAAAAGCCACAATCGAAAGAAACCTCTAGGCAGGTAATTATCAGGTGGATACCTTTAAAGGCGGCCTTTTTTGGACATCATCTAGGGTTTAGGGTTTGAGATTTGGGGTTTAGGATTTAGGGTTTACGGGTTCCGGGTTTGGAGTTTAGGGGTTTAGGGATTAGGGCTTCTACGAGTCTGAAAGGAGCGTTATGTGGGGATACCCAACTGGTAAGTACCCAGTTGCTTTCTGGTGTGCGTGACATATGGTATTAGCTAGATATCCCTTGGGGTCCCTAGGAGACCCCTGTTTTGAAGGGTCAAACGCTCAATATTAACATAAAACCCCGCATAGAGGCTTCCGAAATTGGGGGGCGGGATCATCTGGGGGCCCTTACACCCTAAACCCTCAACCCTGGGCATGCGATGGTAGCGATTATAAGTACGAGGTGCCGCAATAGTAACCTTTTTCCCTTTCTACTTTGGAGTCTCCTTATTAGAGCTGAGGGGTTACTAGGAGATAATGGGAGCTGCTAATCTGATTTCAGGAAGATTCCTGGATTTTAGGGGCCCTGGACCCTGAAACCCTAAACCCCTGAACCCCTAACCCTCAAGGTGCCGTAGCCACAGTGATGCCGATTCAAACTGGTGCTCAAATCCTGGGTGCCCCGCCGCAAGAAGCGTGAAGGGTTCAGGGTTTAGGGTTTAGGGGCTAGGGTAGGGTTTAGGGTCTAAGATTTCCCGGAAGTATCTCAAAAGTACCATATGTAATCGTTAATAGTGCCCACATATTCCCGGTGTCCCTAAGGGCACCCCGATTTGAGAACCCCCCAATTTTCTTGCAGCGAATACAACTTTAGCTTTCTCTCAGAGATCTTCAGCTGGGGTTTCTCTGCTGCTAGTATAACTCCTTTATCCAAGTGCCAACACAGAAGTTGTCATGAGTTGAAAGTAGCCTTTGAATCCCTCGAGATAGTTTTCAAATTTGCTCATTGTAGAGACAGCAAGAAACAGCTAAACTTGACCTTTACGAGCGTCCCAGGCCAAACCCCATTATCAGGGTTTAGGGTTTAGGGTCTAGGGTTTAGGGTTGAATCTTTAGACCAGGCAAACAAAAGGGTGTTTTAGGTTTAGGGTTTAGAGCTGAAGTTTGAAGTTGAATATTTCCAGAGTTCAGTGTTTAAGATTTGGAGGTCCTCATTGAGGTAGGCTGTCTTCCGCCCCTCTTCCTTGTAGGCTTGATGTCATATTTTGGAGAGATTCGGGGGGTTCCCAAAATTAAAGGGATTTAGGGGTTCTTTAGGGGTTATCTAGGGTCCAGGGATTAACAACAGAGTTTTAGGGATTAGGGTTATCTCCTAATTAGAAGTGCCATGTTTTATATCGTATGTCTTAATGGTTTATCGTATTTTGGGGCGACTATAGGCGTCTCCGGATGTATGGGAACTACATTTTGTCATGACTCAATGATCAAGGCTTTGGCCGTAAACCTTAAACTTCCTAAACCCTAATCCCATAACCCTGAACCCTAAACCCTAAACATCGAGGTAATATGTTTTGGCAGATCACCCTGGGCATGAAGTACTACAACAAGAGCATGCGCGTGGGCACCATCGTGCTGACGCATGGTTGCAGTGTCCCTAAAACCCTAAATCCTAAACGCTGTCCTAAATCCTGAATCCTAAGGCCTAAGTCCTCCTGAACCCCTAGATCCTCAGCCCTAAGCCCTAAATCCTGAATCCCAGGCCCTAAATCTCAAACCCTCAGCCCCCAACCCTAAACCCCTAAACCCTAAGTAGTTTCGATTTTATTTTCCATTAGCCAAATATAGCCCCAAAATAACCCTATATAACCCTAATGTTACCCCAGGCCGTGAGGGTTTCCAAGCTTCGGGGGGGGGGGGTCCCAGCCTGTCATATTAGGTCACAGGAACAGACGGGGCTTTCCGAAAAGGGTTTTGGGTTCAGGGTTCAGGGCTTAGGTTTAGGGTTTACGATTGGAAAATATACAGTACTCCGATCACGGAGCATCAAATGCAAACAGACGTGTTGCTTTGTAGGGATTAGAATTTGACCAAATTAGTGGTACTGTTTTGGGGTGTCCTGATAATAAGGATTATAGTATCTTGTATGTTGGGCTTCCCCTGTTTACGGAAACTACCAAGTGAGATGCAGCACCTTCTCCTCTCATCTGGAAGTTTCTGAATCCCTGCAGAACTGTTCAGCGAGAACCCCAAAATTCAGATGTAATGTCCACGTTCCTGCAGGTGAGGGCTCTTGAGAAACCCCAAACCTCAACTTTGTATACATATTATTATATACACATACAATATTATATACGTATATCGGTACACATACCCCGATAGCAACTCTTCAATGAGCAACCCTGTTTTGAGAACCCGCCACTGACAGTGAACGAATATTTTCAGGCTTAGGATTTAGGGCTTGGGGTTTAGGGTTTAGAGTCTAGCGTTTGGGGTTGGAATCCTTCTTACAATGCATGCGGCGCATGCTCTAAGAGTCAGGGGGAACAGCCCCAGCTATCCCCTTTCATCAACTTACCCAGCCCCTGCACTTTCTAAGTACCTGAACCCAAAAAGTATGTAGAATAATGGCTTTTTGGGCTGTTTTTAGGTGTTTCGGGCTATTATGTTACCTACTTTTGGGGTCCAGGTAATGTTGATTGAGGGCATCTTGCACGACGTAGCAGGGCGCCAGAATGATATCTGCTCCGAAATTCCCAGAAGTAGACGGCCAACTTTCTCAGAGTGGCGGGGGATCTCTTCCAGAATGAACAGTGCCGTGTGCGGTGTATTCCGAAGTATGCAAGACGAACCCCAAACAGATGTGCGCTTTAGATTTTCGTGCTAATGCAATTGTCATTCCCCGGCGCCACTACCCCCTAGACCCTTAACTGGCATTGCGGGTGTGGAGATTCTGAGAATGTCGTAAACACAGATTTTCAGGTGTTGCTTCTTCTATCCCCCACCTAAACCCTAGACCCTAGACACTAAGCCCTATACACTCCCACCACCCTAAACCCTAAACCTTAAACCCTGAACCCTAAACCAAGGAACAGCTAAAGCTCGGTGTCTGTGTTTAAGGATCCCAGAGCAGATTCAGGTTTCGGGCAGAAGCAGTCTAGTTAGGTCGACCCCCCCCCATAGTAATGGCTTATGTGGAGTTATTAGGGCCTTCATATACCCACAATAGTTGTTTGTGGTACCCATTACTGGGTGGGGGATTGACCCAAGTTGTCAGAAGATGTAGGGTTTATGAGTTTGGGTTTAGGTGTTTTGGGGCTTGGGGTTTAGGGGTTTAGGGATGAGGGATTCAAGGCTTAGGGTTGGGGGTTTAGGGTTTAAGGTTTTAGTAGGGGCCCCAATGGGGGGGGTATCGGGCTCTTCAAGTGGCGCGGCATCTGCATGAAGCAAACCATGATACATCTACAGGGTTTAGGGGTTTGTCTTCTGCTTGGAGTACTACAAGAGTGGGCCCATACCGTACCAGTCTCCAAAACAGGCGTTGTCGTGGTAGAGACGGCTAGTGTGTGAGGGGGGACTATAATCCATTTGATATGTACCCCTCCTAAACCCTAAACCCTATCCCCAATCACATGAAAGATATCAATTCAATTATTTCTGGGAGGGGCCTGCTGTGAGACCCCTCCCTTGGGAGACGTAAATGCAACACGCAACGCATGGGATTTTGGGTTTAGTTCGCGGGTTTACAGTAGGTTGCAAAGGTTTTAGGAATCAGAAAGCTACCCTAGACCCTAAGCTCCTAGACCCTAAACTCTACGAGCAATATAGGATGTGAATGCAATTTACCGCATAGCTCCTCACCTTGCGTGACGGGGTTTTTTCTGTTCGACGGATATTTCAGGTGGGTAGCTTCCCCATATAAACCTTACATAGCCCTTATATACTGAAAAACTAGGCTAGACCTTCATGTAAACCTTATGTCAGGGTATCCACCTGGCAATCCCTAAACCCTAAACCCTAAGCCCTAAACTCTAACCTGAATTTTCCCTTAAGTTGTGTTCAACTCTTCGGCTTTACTTACTGGTGGTTCTTTTTTGGGGTTTAGGGTTTAGGGTTTAGGGTTTAGGGTTTTAGTCTTTAGGGTTTTAGGGTTTAGGGTTTTAGGTTTAGGGTTTAGGATTTAGGGGCTGTATAGGGAATCAGAGAATATGATCCCCCATCCAATATGTTCCTTTATTCCCTACTAAACCCTTGTCAGTCTACGGGCTCAAGCTTTGCTTCAAAGCTCTGGAGAATTTCAAAAGGTGGAGATTGCAGTTGTGGTTTTCTATACTCATACGAGAGTTTCTGAAAACAGGTCCCGGAGGGAAACATGAGAAGGATACGGGGATGAAGGGGTCCCTGGAAAGGAGATGCAGAGGTACTGTAATGGTAACAAATTCCCAAATCCTAGAGCCCAAACCCCCACAAAGCCCCATACGCTTGAAAGCAAAGGGCTTCTGTTGCAAAGGTAGAACCGTAAAGCCTAAGCACTCAACCCTATTACTTGCTAGGGTTCAGTGTTTGGGGTTTAGGGCTAGGGTTGAGGGATAGGCCTCATCCCCCCCTTTCGGCTGCGTGCTTGCTCAGGATTTGCGCCGTTGGAGCATCTATGCTGTGTTTAGGATGTGCTTGAAGGGCCATGCGGTTCTAGTAAGCGTACTTGGCTTAGGGTTTAGGATTTAGGGGTTTAGGTGTCCCTCTATATCCTATAGCCCCTCCTCAAAACATGGAAGTTTCCCAAAATTGGGGACCGCAATTTAGATTCCAATATAGTATAGTCCTTAATATGGGGACCCTCAAAATGGTGCTGGTAATTTTAAGGAAGCCCTTAAAGGACTCTTTCATATCAGGTGCTTTAAACCTGCCCGCGCGGTTTACGGTTTAGGGTTTAGGGCGGTTTAGGGTCCCCTGACCCTCAAAGCAGGTTTTGAAAGTATCCTCGGGCTTCAGCTTTCATGCGATACTATTGCCGTAGTCTAAACTCCTTATAGGGGCTTACATGGGGTTGAAGGTTTAGGTGTCTGACAAACTTTGAAGGGGGGTTATATAGGAGATTTTTATTTATGGGGGATATGGAGGGGAAATCTAGGAGTTTAGATTATGGCTCATATCAAGTCTGGTGTTTAGGAGTTTGCTTTGGACCCCAAACCCTCAACCTTATAGGCTCAAGGTCCTTGTGTGGGTACCCTAAGCCCTACTTGCAACCCATGGAACTTAGTAATTACTTATAACTGGGCTTATAACCCTACTTATTATTCCTCTCAGTGGACTTAAGGGGGTTGCCACAATTTTAAGTAGGGTTATAATCCCAGTTATAAGTAGTTACTAAGTCCCATGGGCTTCTAGGGCCCTACTGGAACGTAGAGCCACACAGTTTGGTTCGAGTTTTGGGTGCTTCAGGTTTCAGGGTTTCGGTTTTGGGTGCATATTCCCTTGAAATCGTGCCACGTCCTGGTATCTAACATTTAGCACCACCCCATGGCGCACAGTTTTTTTTGGCAAGCGAGTGGGGTCAGAGATGGGGGCGTGAGCTTCCAGGCGTAGCTTGCAAAGCCTAAGAACCAAGACCCTCCTAGTTCTCTTAGTTGGGGAGTGTATGGCCCCTAATAGCGGCTACTTAGGCCCGAATAGAGGGTAGGTGGAGGTGATAGGAAAGTTGTTGCGTGGTAATGTCAAGCTTGCAGAGCATTGCACAAATAATTGTATACTATAACTATACTTTGCAGCCCCAGTTTGTGTGTGATGTTCACGAGAAGAGATAGAGACTCAAATCGAAGCTCCTCAGAACCCCGCACTCTACAGAAACCCCAAACACCCTCAACCTTAAACCCCAAACACCCTAAACCCTAAACCCTAAACCCTAAACTTGCAATTTCAACCAAAGCTCCTGAGGAGTTGTCGGAGATTGGACCGAATGAGCCATCAGACTTGCCAGTGGTGGAATTGTTGGCTGCTGGGTTGCTGTTAAGGAACTTAGATTAAGTTACCATAATGTGAGTCGATTGGGTTTAGGGCTTAGGGTTCAGCATCTCAAGTCCAAGCATGCACTTCTTAAGCAGCATTATAAAACAACTGGAAAATACCCACCCGCCCATTGTATACCCTTAACTGTAAATCCTGAACCCTGAATCCTAATCTTTTAACCTATCAGTCCTGAACCCTCAACTCGAAACCTGGAACCATCGCATTCAGCCTGAACCTTAGGGCTCCGGCCTATACTTGGAGGCCCATTGGACTTAGTAACTACTTATAACTGGGCTTATAACCCTGCTTGAAAATCCCCCTAAATGGACTTAAGGGGGTTGCCCCAAGTATAAGTAGGGTTATAAGCCCAGTGATAAGTAGTTGCTAAGTCCCATGGGCCTCCACTGACCTTGCCCAGTAACAACATGACCTTGCCCAGTAACAACATGTCCTTTGCCCAATAAAATCCTTAGAGGGCGAGGTCATTATCTTAGTGGGCAACGTCCCGGTGACCTTGCCCAACAAAAGTATGACTCTTCCCATTAAGAAAAAGACCTCGCCCAGTAAATTATGACCTTGCCCAGTAAAGGTATAACCTTCGCCCGCTAAGTCATTAACATCTGATTTATATGTGTATATGTATATATATATATGAAAAAGAGGGTTAGGTTTTGAATATGGGTATATAGTAAGTAATAGGGTTTCCTTATGTTGTAGTAACTTGCTTTAAACTCCTTAAGAGCAACCGAGTCCGAGCCTGTGGCAATCGCCTGGACAGCCCTGCTGGTTTTGGGCACCATCGTGGCGATGTATGGAACCTTTGTCTGCTTCAGGCACTTGTAGGGATGCGAAAGGAGGGATTTTAGCTTTTCTTTTTTTTTGGGGTTCGATCTGCCCCAAACCAAACAGTAATCATAGTAATAGGAGATTGAGGTCGCGGCATGGGGCCCGAACCGCGTAGCAGACAGTCAGACAGTCAGACAGTCAAATCCGAATAGCAGACAGTCAGACAATCAGACA